GGACTTGTGATTCTATTTTATTCTAACAGGTCAATGACTGTACAAAAAATATTTTTATCAATCAAGTTCCCTTGTTCAACATGATTGTGTACGTGGCTTGGAATAATTCCTTTCCATTTACTAATTGTTTTCTGATAAATCTTGTAAAATCAGCAGTATTGTGTAGCCTACAGTTTTATGCCAGGGATACTGGTACCGTAACCCATTAAAGTTCTTGCAAAGTATTCCCTGAAATAAATTCTAAATTCTGGCCAAACACAAATAATATGGCTATTTGTTTGAGCATTTGTTCGACAATTAACAGACATGGGTATGTGTCATAAATATTAGCTTTCCCTATGAAACTGTTGTATTCATTTTAATATTCAGATTTATTTTGATATTTTTCATGAATCATAATCTTTTATGTCCTTGTACACAAATGTACAGGGCTTTGCCACCCACTGTGAAATTTTAGATTGTTAGTAGTCTTTTGCTGTTTTGTCTGTAACCCTTCCAGCTGATCTAGACAACTAGCTAAATAAGTTACTAAAACAGAATAAAGTTATTACATCAGTGGGAAAGTCCAAGAGTAATCTGGTTACCTCTTCCTAAAATAGTCAGACCCAGCTTCATTAGCCCAGTCGGTGCAGAAAAGTAGGATATTAAACCCTACTTCATATAGTCAAAATAAGGTATCTGATCAGATCAGTAATAAAATATATATATCTATTTCAAAAAGCTTTAATCAATGAACTTAGTAACACACTTTATCTGAAACACAAGTCTACTGCGTATTTCTTTCACCAGGAGTTACTGCAGGGCTCAAAATTCGCTAACCTGTATCTAAGGCCATTTTTCAAAAAATGGCCTCAGACAGTGAAGCCTCTCTAAGGCCATTTTTTCAACACCAAGGCCATTTTTTCAATTTAGAAATTATCGATGGCCATTTTTGCTGGACATTTTAAAAATAAATAGTCTTTCATTTTTCATATTCATTTAATAAAACGTGGACAGGTTAATCATGACAAACTGAAATAGAAGTTTATAAATATATTTAGTCCTTGGTAAACACTGAAATTAAAAGCTTATCTAAGTCTAAATATTTTTTGTCTCAAACTTCTAAATTACTGTATTACATTATGCGTTTAACCTCCTACAATTATTTTTAAAGCACGACTGTTTGCAGATGCTTGTCAATAAAATAGTCTATAATAAGTCATCATTATTCAGACTGAGAAGAGAGAATCATATCATCAAAATTATCTCCATCACTGTCCTCAATTTCACTTTCTATTACTAGCTCTGATTATCAAGCACTGTCTTGAACCGTAGTCTTGTTTATCACAAAAGACTTGACTAACGTCTGCTTGGTCTGCTTAACGTAGTCTTGTATAATAAGATTGTTACGTGTTACAGGCATCTGTGGAGGGGGTAAACTACGAACAGCAGTGCATAAGAAAAAATTAATCGTGGGAGGTTTTTAGATCAGCCAAGTTTAACGGGAAAATGCATATCATACGTGAACTTTTTCATTTATTTTGGCTTCCGATATAGGTGCCATCGACTGCCTTTTAGGGTAATTCTACGGCCAATGGCTCTAGTATTTTTATCGATTTTTTTCCGCAATTTACGACAGCAATATTTGGCCCTCGATGTAAAAGCTATAAAAGGCCATTGCTAGGCTTACGACAGCAATGGCCCCGATGGCTCTCAGGAATTTTGAGCCCTGTACTGTACAAAAAATTCTTTTAAATATAAAATACCAGTATAGTGGCTGTTTTCAGAGAAAGAAAAGAATATTAATGCGGAAAATACTGTGTTAAGAATGATTCTGAGATTTTATCAGTATATTATACCAGTATCTCATTTCAATCTACCTATATTATGTTCTGAATTTTGCATGAGTAAATATATACTGTATATTAAAGGGTATTCACGCAGGTGTATAATTAACACCTGACAAAAAATATTTTTGACAGTAATTCTTAATGTGTTAACTTCACAGTTGACACCTTGCCTGTAAAATAAACATTACACGAAATATACATCGTTTGAAGAATAGTTTAACCAGGCATCCGAAAAGAAGAGAGAATGGGGTTTAATGTCTACTCAACACAAACTATGTCATTTTGGGACTAACATACTGTACCACTTTTTATTTCAATAATTTTCATGCATGTAGGTGTCTTTAGGAATCCTAGCGTATTCAATACCAGGCTAATTCATTACCGGTAAAATCGGCATATTCAAGACCAGTATATTATAGGGTTGGTTGATCGGTATATAAAGGTGCTAAGTAGTACTCATCAGTGTGGATAGAAGCCGATTCGATAATTATTATAGATGATTTTGATGATTGGAGTTTGATGTATTAAAATTGTTTTTTTTTATTATTGAGTTGTTGTTTAAATTATTTAATCTTATTGAGTTGTTGTTCAAATTATTTAATCTTAAGCTTAGGGTATGTAATTATTTTATATTTAGTGTATTTACTTTACGCAATTGAATATATTATATTGTTTTGTGTGTTTAACAATGTAATTGAATGTAATAAACATAATTTAGTGTATTTACTTTGAATATATATATTGTGTTTTTCAGAAACAATCAGCTAATGGAAACACAAATTGGCGCTGTGTTCACCATCCGAAAGTGGACTACTGTCGGGCGACAGTAATACAGACAGGGGATGAGTACGTGGAGAACCAATGGATATCGAACCGAGTGTTTAGTGCGAAGAGTTGGTCCGTTTTTATGCGCTCCGTTCGCACGAATAATGACGTCGAGGGGTGGCATAACCAAATCAACTCTCGACTGAACTACACAAAGAAGCTAAGAAACTCAAAATGGATATGGTGATGCTCACCGAAGGAAAAATCAGCAGATGCCAACGAAGCAGAGTTGGACTTATGCAGACACGCATATTCTCTCTATGGACCAACTACAATGCAGGTGAAATGGATACCAGTAGGCTATTGAGAGAGTGTGCGTTTCTGTACGGTCCCTCTGCGGAAACATCGTCGTAAGTGTATTGTAGTGTTGTTTGTGTTGTAAGTGTATTGTAGTGTTGTTTGTGTTGTATCAACCATAAAAGAAAAGAAAAAAAAATTAATAGTGTATCACATTTATGAACACAATACCCCGTTCAAGTATAAAACTAAAAGAAAAAAATTATGAACACAATTCCCTGTTCACAGTTTTTTACGAACTATTATTAATCGCATCAGCTGAAAACATTGATTTTTGATGTGATAAATAAAGAAATATTAATAGTAACATCAACACAATACTCAGTTCAAAGTTGAATACGAAACTATGGCTATTATTAATCGCATCAACTGAATACGATGTTTTATATGTAAATATTGTCTTCGAATGTTAAATATTTCAACTCTTGTTTGTATTATGATTATTTTAAATATATAATATTAATAGTAACGTCAAGTTAAACACAATACTCAGTTCAAAGTTGAATACGAAACTATGGCTATTATTAATCGCATACGATGTTTTATATGTAAATATTGTCTTCGAATATTAAATATTTCAACTCTTGTTTGTATTATGACTATTTAAAATATATAATAAATACCTTGTTAATCCTTCTATTGTTTTGTCTTAATTGATCAATTAACACCCATAGACAGAGTACTACTTAGCACCTTTATATACCGATCAACCAACCCTATAATATACTGGTCTTGAATACGCCGATTTTACCGGTAATGAATTAGCCTGGTATTGAATACGCCTGATACCGTCTTTAGCAGTGGGAGGAGATCAGAGGACCCAGAGAAAATCCATGAAGTTAGGCCAACGACCCTACTCCATGACACATACAAGTGTGGGGGATCATAAGGCATAATAAAAGGTATATACAAAATTATCTGTACTTCAAAACTAGAGACTCCTTCTCTAGCCCTTTTCTAAGGCAACTGAGGATAAGGAGTCCAGGAAAGTCAGAAAGATAGAGGTCTATTTTTGTTTGGTTTTCCAAACTGCTCATTCCAAATCAGCCCTTCCTTACTATGCTCTCAAAAGCTTAAAAATAAGCCACTGTTTGACACTTGAAAATATTTTTGTGTGGATTTAAAAAACGATGTGTCATTTGCATTTTCATTAAATATAAAATTTCTAATGGCTTAATACAAGCTTAATATGTTCCCAGCTCGATTATTTAACATTGAATTAAGAAAAAAAGCACAACGCTAGATAATCTCTCAGTCTGGATTAAATTGGCTTTAAAGTAGCCTAATCAGGTTTCTCTGCTACCAATAAAAGATGGTATAGCATCTTATTACATTCGAGCAACATAAATCATTGAAATTTCAATTTAGCATAACTTTGTAAATACTGATTGGAATTAAACCATTTTAGACTGTTATTCCTAATATAGATTAAACTCTGCAAGTTCTGTTGACTTTGACAATGGTAATCAGACCAGTGGATGAACATCAATTTGGCACTCAAGTTAACATGATGATACCTGGCAAAAAGCACCTTATAATTTATAATTATTTGATAATGCGCCAATTTAAATCAGTGTTGGTCAAAGTAGCCTTCTTGACCAATCCGTGATTATGCAGACCTACATCTGTTAGATTTATTTATTGTCCTACAGATAGAAACAATATTTATCCATCGGTATGCAGATCTACTTTATTTTTATATTAACAAAATTTACTGTGATATCTATATACAAGGAGTTCACTATCGATTCATAACTTTACTAAATAAAATTGTGATTAGCCAGAATAGCCAATTTTTGTGTGCTTCAGCAAAAAAACATCTGTTATCGATACAATGTACGCAGGTGTTGAGTTGGTTAGAGTATTTTGATTTGAAATTGAACCGTCGATCAGGAAAATAAACTGAGTCCATGAAGTTGAACAGTGTCAGTGAGTCAACAATCACAATCCGGCAAATGGGCGACTTTTTCAATTGAAATTTCAGTGAACATTCTAAGTTAAAGTAATACATTAAAATGAAAGCAAAGCAATATTCAAATGAAAACATACCTCAGCTTCAAATTTTCCATAAATCCATCTAATGTCAACTGTCGGAGCAACACAAAATCACCGATCCCATACTCGGGACCTTCGTGTATACCCGCCATTGCGAAAGATATTAAACACCGGCGCCAGGAGTCGCTGTTGTCATTTTTCTCGGATTAACCCATTGACGGCTGAAGGAAGTCATATATCACGGTTGTAATCGACCATCAAAAGTGGTGTATCGCTTATATACTATATCAATTACAGAAGAAATGCATGCTCTCTCTGTGGAGTATATTAATATCTCTTTATTACATTTTCACATGCTATTTTATGCTGTTTTTTTGTTTTGTTTTTTAGCGTTATTTACACTATCTTCTTTATTGTTGGTTGTCCGATATGAAACACCAAATCGATGACCGGCAGGCGCGGATTTAAGGGAGGAGGGGGCGGGGGTAGCCCCCACCCCCATGCGATAGCGCCCCACACCCCATGCGACAGGCCCAGTACCAAAAGATTAAAAGATCAGTTCCTGACACATTATGCGCCGCTATCTGAAATTTTCACCGAGTGGTCTTTTTGTTTGGTCGGAGTAGTCTTTTGCTTGGTCCGAGTGGTTTTCAGTTGTTCCGAATAGTCTTTGGTCCCGAGTGGGCATGGATTCCATTGTAGGGGTAGTTGGATGGTCGAATGGTTAAGCACGTGCGCGCTGTATCATAAGGTCTGTCATTGAGTCAAATGGCGTGGTTTCGATTCTTCTGTTGTACGTGACAAGGAATAGGGTCGCCCGTCCAACCTCGTGGGTTTTCTCCTGGTCCTCCTGTTTCCTCCCACTACTAAAGACCCCTACGCGCAAGCGATTTATTGAAATAAAATTGAACAGTGTGTTAGTCAGTTTGTGTCGAGTGGAAGTTAAACCCCATCTCTCTCTCTCCCTCCCTCCCTCTCTCTCTCTCTCTCTCTCTCTCATTCTGATCCACTCGTCTGTGATCTTGTTCTCATCATCACAATCATTTTCACGGTTATGGTGAACCGCAAAGTTAGTAGTGCCACTAGTGCGTTGGTCGTATGTGGGGCGACAGGTAACATGTTCTTTCATCTCTCACAAAACGGATAGAATTGATATATTATGTCCCATTTCTGATCCTCTGGTTCACAAGAATTTGCGATTGCTCCCATCAATGAACTAAAATGGTCGGTCTCAAAATACGTGCAGGCGATCTCTAAAATTATTATGCATCGGCGACTAAATGGGTTAAAGAGGTAAACAAACAATGCCAAAATTGAAGGGAAAAAACCCAAATATGTATGAATATATCTGTGTATACGTTTGATTGCTTTGATTGGATATCACAATACGCGCCAGTTGTTCAAAGCTCAAATTAGTAAACACTGTTATGCGTTCAGTAATGAAACAGGAACTCCTCAACGGACTATTGACGTTTGCGTGTGTGATCTTGATCTGACGGACATGGTCGATCTAGACAAAATCGCCGATCGTTGGTCAAACTTGACTAAGCGCGGACGCTTGATGAAAATAGGAAGATGATAATGGTAGAAGACTGAACTTTGATCCAATTTACCTATTACCCTTGCAAAAAGGGTTAGGGTTAGTATTTCCCAAAAAACTCATTTATATAAGGCGGCCACTGTGGACTCCAGAAATTCCCGAACCTCCCCAACCGGCCAATAATTAGCAACTCCAATGAAAATATGGGGTGAAGTCATATCTTTGCTAATTTATGTATATTCACAACAATATATCGAAGATATATTATGTAACTGATGTAATTATCACTTTTATAAGCTGTCACAGATTCACAGTACTTTGTGTGGCGTTCTTGCAAATTCTTAATAAATAAAATGAATTCACATGCGTAGTACTCAATTTTGCTCATGTTATAAGTATTTTCTGACCAGAATTCTGCAAAATCCAGGAAATGGCAGCGTTTCGTTTGATTATACATAATCCCACGTAACACTGCTGTAAAGGAAGCAAATTTCTGTTCCAAATTATGACTGGTCAATAGTCTGATTAACAACCAATAGCTAACTGTTTAACAATATCATTACGCTTTAAACAGAGATCCATATTGGACCAAATATGTTTACATAACACGTCATGACTCACGGTTCTATTATGCCCTGTTAACCATTGCATGACAGAATATTGCAGAAAAATTAATTGCATGACAAACGAGGCTATCAAAATGGATACAATGTAAACATTTTAACATTACTGTTTGGAGACGTAACTTTCACCTTAAATCACTGTCCAAAGTTTTAGGGAAGACCCCAGATTAAACGAAGGGCTGTCATGTTGCTGTACTTGGGATAGATTTGATTGAACGGGAAGAATAGACACACTCACTCAAAAGCTCAAGGATCAGAAGCCAATCCAGCAATGGCTAGAGAGGGTCAATTTTTTTAAAATTCAGATTAAGTTGTGGTGTGGTCATAACGGCCATAAACCATAACGGTCAAAATTCAGTTTGTTCAGAACGGCCATAATTTGGTCGTAACGGCCCAAAAGTTAGTCAAAGCTAGCCTAAAATATTACTATATTGCTAAAAGAATATATTTTACAATACATTTAGATCCACTGGCTATTTTATGTATTATTCATCTGATATGAATAATAAATTATGAACATGGTTTCAATTAATTAACACAATGAATTAGGCCTAAAAGGTTCATTGTCAATTACCCTGAACATTACGTGCTGATTTTCAAAGAAAGGCGTAATTACTAACTAATTAACTGGTTGGTTATTCCCTAATCAAGTACTTCACACTCTTCTAATCTATTTCTGATTATGACTTTAGTTTTTTTTACTTACATGCTATGCAGATTTTATTGTAAGTTTCATTTCGTTACTGTCAAAGACGTCTTGCATACTATATTATATATCCATGGTCCATGCTATATCAAAGTCAAACTACTAATCATTATTAGCTAAATCCGCTCGTCAGCTGAAAATGAACCCACTTGTTGTTGTTGTTCTTAGCGTTTAACGTCCGCTTCCACCGAAGGTGATATCGCAGACAAGTTCATTTTAATGATCTTAGCGCACGCACAGGGGTCTTTGCTGTGGGAGGAAACCGGAGTACCCGGAGTAAACCCACGAGGTTGAGAAGGCGCCCCTATCTCCAAGCCACATACGCTCACACCTGGGATCGAAACCGCAGCCGCAAGCCAGAGGTGACCGGCCAACTAGAGGTCGAAGCGTGACACTCTAGACCACTAGGCCATCCCAACCCCCTTGAACCCACTAAGCTATATTTTTTTATATAGTCTAGGCCTAACACTGTTTATTCAAAGCAATTATGGGATCTGAAAACATGCCAGCGCTTACATAAATTCATCACCCGTATGAAATTATTTACAAACATAAGAATATTTTAAACTATATAAAACTATATAAGAATATTTGGGGGGGGGGGGCAAATCTATTTTCGGATGGGGGGGGCACCGTCTCCCTTGCCCCCGGCTGGCTACGAGTGTGCGGCAATCTGTAAAATATAGCCATGGACCGTATAAGGTATGTATTATAAGGTCCATGATATAGTCTAATAATGTCTATTTGCATGTCTTCTTTTTGACTTCGATTGTCTTCAAACACTTAGTAAATTTGACTAAAATTTCCAATATATTTATTTTTAACTATCTATTTTTGAACGATTATAGCAATAACGGCATCTCTGTATCTAATGCACTTTAAAAGGATGAATTGTTAATTTCTCAACGAAGCTATTAAATTTTGTAGACATTGCTTTTAAATTAATGTAAATAAATATAATTGATAAAAAAAAATATTCCTAAAACCAGTTTGTATGGTATTATTTTTATTCTTTATATTTCTGGAGAAAAAAAAAATTTGTTCGGAGCCATAGTGTTTTTATTTACGTCACTTCATAACATAACGGTGTCGATAACGTTATGACGACAACTTTACGTCTGGTGAAACCGTTACTAAACAAAACTGACAGAGTTGTACCCCTTAGACTGCTCTTTTGAAGAAATCTTTATCGACACATGCGGGATTGTGTGTTTGGCGCAAATCGTCCCATATTTTATAAGAAATTAACTGTTTAATTTGAAATAACAGTTTCGTCCAACAATGTCTACTAAGGACGCAAATAAACAGGTATGTATTTTAGAAATGAAATAGATCTAGATCTTATTCTGACATTTGTCTGAATTAGAATCAATTTTAGTGGTTGGTTGACGAAAAACTTCCGCACCTGAAAAGAAAGGATTTTCCATTTGATGTGAGCAACAACTTTCTATTAAAGCATAATATTTACTACTGCCAGTTAGTCCTCTAGGCTACATGACAAATTCTAAGCTATGCCAAAAATTGAACATTAGACAAGTCCAGAGGGCAAACAAAAACCAGGAAAGCAAATGAAATAAATTGGGAAGTTTAGCCCTAATTTGGGGCCTAATTTTGATGAAATGACTATCTTTTCTAGATCAACTGCCCTAATCCTAATGACTGAATGAAGTCAAGCATACCGGTACGCCATGAAGTGTGGTAGATCTATAGTCCAGGCCGCAAGTACTCTTTTCTCCAGGTTATTGCGACCCCTGAACCCACGCCTATAGGACCTAGGATGAAAGTCCCCCCCCCCCCCAATCAAGAATTGCTTTCACCGGCCCTGTAGTCACTAGCCTAGTGGTACTGTCAAATGTGATGGAAATTTTGCCCAGACTACTCAAGATTCATCGAATGCCAACTGTCAAGGGTTTTTTTTTTTTTACAAGCATATTTATTCTACCAACTGTCCAAAACTAAAGATCTGAAAAGGTGCACAAGAAAACCATGAGGAACTTTCATGGGCAACACTGTGTGCTTGAAGTTGAGATCATAAGCCATAAGGTAGTTCAGCTCTGAACGTAGGTCTCATTACTCTCGACCTCTACGTTCAGGAACTGTCCTATTGAATCCTTGTCGAAAATCTAATCACTTCCCAGTCAATTTTACTGGGCAACTTTTTACTGCTAAACGGTCGCGTGTCAGTCCCTGTGAACGCCTGAACAATATAAATGAACATCTTAGTGAGAAAATAAGACCTTGCTTACGTGGCTAGAGTCAGTATGAGCGACACAACCCGCTGTTAAAAAATATGTCTCCATCTTCTAACCAACTTGGCGGACATCATTGAAAGGGTAACGCACAAATTTAAGAACTCGGCCATATAAGATGAAACGAAATTTAGGTAAGCCTGGGAGAAAAAAAATGAAATCTTTGAAAAGTTGAGAATCTTCAGTGATTTATTGCTTTGCCTAGCTAAATTACAATAATTTACAATCAAATTCTTTCAAAAATCCCAATTTTTTCGCACCAGACTTACCTAAATTTCGTTTTATCTTATATGGCCGAGTTCTTAAATTTGTGCGTTACCCTTTCAATGATGTCCGCCAAGTCGGTTAGAAGACTGAGACGTATTTTTTAACACCGTGTTGTGTCGCTCATACTGACTCTAGCCAGGTAAGCAAGGTTTTATTTTCTCACTAAGATGTTCATTTATATTGTTCAGGCGTTCACAGGGACTGACACGCGACCGTTTAGCAGTAAAAAGTTGCCCAGTAAAATTGACTGGGAAACCAAATCTGGTCAACAAGGATACAATAGAAGGGTCCCTGAACATAGAGGTCGAGTGTAATGAGACCTACGTTCGGAGCTGAACTAGCCATAAGGCTGATAAGGTCTGTTATTCACATTCAGTCAAGTGGGTTTTATCATCTATAAGATTACCTAGTTTGTGCCCAGTTGAAAGCCAATATCTACTAGACACAACAACCGCAATGACAACTTGGAATAGGCTAGAATCACACTTCTAATATTGAATTAAATGGGGGTTGATCGTTCAACTACATGCAAACTACAGAGATTCAAGGCACAGCATAAGAGTAGGAAATATTCTCTTCAAAGACGCCAGGATTCGTTTAGTTGACCTTGTAGATTGAGGTAGGCAAACCCATTATGGTTCTCTCCAATGAAGCTATAAAACAAAAGAAGAATTGTTTGATCTTTTATCAATATCGAGAAAAACACAAACGATCAAATTGTCAATTCTACATTGTCTTCCATGGTTGCCATGCTGACAACTATCCATCCCATGATGATGACATTGATATTGCATTATGAACAGAGGAAAAAAATCCTTTCTGTTGTACAGTTTGAAGGTGTATTAATATAAACACTAATTATTTGTTCTTATTGATTTCAGGTTGAAGACTTCATTACCAAATTCAAGAAAGAGGTTTGTACATTAATAATATATGAATGAAACTTAACATGACATCAACATATTAAATACTATGGTCGATCTGAGAATGACAAGCTTACATATTTTTTTATTCTGATGTGCATTGCCTAGAAGCAGATGCTTTGGCCTTCTATGAAATGCTATTCTTCCGATTCCAATGATCAAATGTTATTGTAAATTCATGTACAAAGGGCGACCCGAGTGTTGCAATCTATAAGACCATGTTTCTTGGTCAACATCTGGGATTTGAACCAGGGATGTACTGGCCAAGGCTACGATTTGACTGCCGTGACCCACTCATCATCTTGAACCCTATGCATTTTTGCAACAGTCATTAAGCTAAATAAGGAATATTTGTGAAAAATACATGTACCGATGGCACAAAAAGTGAATTGTTTGTCTCCAGCCTATACGTAATTAGTGCTTTTGTTGCAAATTAATGAGCAAAAAGCTGGGGGTAGCTATTCAAGTCACAGTGTTTATTTTTTTATTAAGATGAAATCCTGGAGTGACCTTTCTTTGACATACTTTCCGTCAACGTAATTCCATGAGCTACTTTAATTTGACTTAAATTTAGATATTTTTATTCTAGGCAGAAACATTAGTGACAGATGTATTTCCACGTAAGATTATACAACTTGAAAAAATTAACCAAGTAAGTACATGATTTTAATTAGGAATACCGAAAAAGGCTGGAATTCTGTGATACATGTTTGAGGTTAAAGTCCCTTCATCAATACCAGCAATTGTTTTCAAGACTGTTTAATTCATACATACATACAACAGGGATGTGCCCAGAAAAATATTCATGCTGGGCAGTAATCTTGGGCAGGGCGTGCACACACCCTCTTAATAGCAGGGGCAGTTTGAGGGGCACTGGGAGTTCGATCTGGCTTGAGATAAAATTATAATTGTTTTCCTATCCAAAAACAGTAATTTCTTGACATTTTGGCAAAGTTTTTTTGTTTTCTTAAATCAACTTTTTATGAAATCTCTGATAATTTATGATAAATAGAAAATGGATTTACCTGATCTTCGTTGAGAGAATCAACACTATGAAAAGAAATTAAAATGATATATTCTGAAGATCCAGTCTGATTTCTGAACATATTTTCGATCACCGTACAAAATGGTGCGTACTGCCAGGGACATAACTAGCCAAACTGTTCCAAATGAAAACATTATGATGAGTACATTGATGGATGGATGGATGACAGACATGCCCGCCTGAATCAGCAAATTGATATTTTAAAGACCATTTATTAATTATATTCCATTAAAAACATAATGCTAAACTACAACGATGCAGTGCCAGTAAGCAAACCAGACTTTTTTTTAACTAGTCATGCTAGTTAAATCGCACTATGACAAGTAAGAGTCTACATCAGTTAGATAACTCAGCATGGCAAACAATAAATCGAAAATAATGAATTTCACCGTTATTTTTAGATGTCTATGATCGGAGGTTAGTTTGACGCGAGTCAAGATTATTTATTCAGTTTATGAGGTTAAAAGGAACAAATACAGATGTAACAACATATTTTTCCAGAATATATATAGATTAATCCTAACAGAGCTTTAACCTCCATATTGTTTACATCAGTCTTGTTTCTATTGATTTTACGCAGCCTTGGTTATATTTCTTATTGTTGGTCAGTTTGTACAGCATTATGTTTAATATCTAACCTTCATTTTTTGTTAAATTTTGTTTATTATTTATAAATTTTGGCAGACGTTGAATTTAGATAATGAAACATTTTTGTTTGCCTGTTTAAATTTTGCCCTGTTCTCATGTTACAAACTTTAATTTTATTATTACAGGAAATGAAAAAAACTAAAGCTGGCTCTATAAAAGCAGATTTAAATGTTCCTGTTCCAGACCCAGTGGTGTTCCATAATCAAAATGATTCAAAAAATAATGATGTAAGTTCACAGGGTTGGTAGTGGCAAAAGGATGTTTGGGTTACCAGGAGGTCGTCATGCGTGGGCAAAAGAAGTGATCCATATTCAGTTTGTGTTAAAAAATTATGATCATGTTAAATATTATAATAATATAAATTCAAACAAAACAAGGAAAAAAAGACTTCATTTCTGAATTTTATTAAATTCTGATCTTTTACTCCTCAGTTCCTACAGCCGAACAGGTTTCCATAATAATACAATACATAGCAGAAAACCTGATGGGTTACCATAAACCATTTTCAGGTAACCTGTTAGGTTACCACACCCAGCTGTTAATTTCAGCCTTACTATCAGTGGCAGTCCCAATGAAAATCAACATATAGTCATGGGGAGAGTTTGGATGGGTGGTGGCAGGGGGGGTCATGATTGGGTCCAGAGGTTGGCTTATAACTTATAATATCTATTCATATTGTTGAAACTTTTTACCTGAAACCTATCCATTCAGTAACTGTGGACACTTTCACTAGATTTTTATAGTTTCATTCAGGTTTTATTACCGGTAAACACATTAAGTTAGTTTGGGGAGGGATTTTCACATGATACTGTAAGCTATGTTCTGATACATCAGTTCAACGAACCAACAGAAATCTGTTTATTTAATTTTAATGTATTCTTGACTAGTAAATAATAAACTTAAGCCGATACAGACAAATTGAGAAAAGATACAAAAAACTGGACTTGTATTTATTTTTATATATATAATTTAAAATATTTTGATTTTCAGTCAAAAAAGAGGAAAATAGACTTTACAACAGGTGACTTAGACCACCTGACAGGATCAAAAGTGTTAGTTCTTCCAAATGGATCCGTTCCAGTTAATGCACATATTTTTAAAGCATGTGAGAAATTAAAGCCTTTAATCAATGATCTTATTGATCATGCTAATATGGTAAGTTTAACAATTCAGAAAAGTAGAGGGTTGACATGTCTGCTCTATACTGTAAAATGTCTAAAATATACTCTTTAAAAAAAAGTAGGGGATATTGAAATGCAAATACCTGTGCAGGTTGCGATATGATAAATAGTCATGGACATTTGACATGCTTTGAAAGTATGTTCACAGATGAAGAACTTATCGCCCCAACAGAACCACTGAGCTGCACATTTGACATGCAATAGCGCCATACACGTGGGTGGGGTTCATTGATGAAAACGGCTGTGTGCTGGATTATCTATCCATGTTTGCTTTCCTATCGGTTCTAGCATAAGATTTACTGTTTAGCGTATCTTTGCTTTAGTGTGTTACAGTTAATTTGATCGGGAGACGTGTTCATCAACGTCATCCGACAACACTGCAAGAATTGGCCATGGCACCAGGGCTGCCGACAACCAGTATCGCAGCGCAATTTGCGATACATATTTTGCCCGTTGCTAATCAAAAATTAAAATCTAACATTTTTGATTCGCAGTAACTGCGAATCATGAACATGCCTGTCATTTTGGATATTGACACAAAGATTTATCCATATTTCTCAACGCTTTCAACGTATATAAAATATCAAATAAATTTTATAAACAAAACGGAATTCTCCGTGTGACATTTTCTTCTCGAACTACCCAGACTCAATTCATTATACTATATAACAATGCTATATAATACAGGGACATAACTTTATGAATCGGGACTATTAAACCGGAAATAGGGAATCAAGTAGTACCACTCACGTTGCGTGACATGTCAATTTCGAGTAATTATATCAGTATTCAATTTGAAAAAAATTAAATTCAATGTATCCCCCACGTATTGTAAATAAAATATAAAAAATAAATATGTGTAAACGTATTGTAAAATGAGAAATCAAAGTAAGAATTCCCGTAAACTATTATTGTTTATATCGCGTGCGTCTAGTTAATCGAGATTATTCGTAAAATACCGCGTGCTTACGATTGAACAAAAATAATAACACACGATAAAAAGCAGACGAAATTGTTTTCTAACGAAGAAATAAGTCACTGCCCAGACATAAGGCCTAACCAAAAGTCTACACTCATTCGGAAATGTTCACAGCTACCTGTAGAAGTGCTAAAATTCTAAATAAAATCTTAAGAATGAAATCTAATCGTTTGTTATCAATTGAAATTAAAATAATCTTGTTATTTAGGTGTTTTATGTTGAAACTGAAAAACTGCTAATCAATTTTTAAATTTGCTAATCAAATTTGGCAAAATTGTACTTTTTGATTAGCAGTGCTGCTAATCATCTGTGAAAAATTACCGACAGCCCTGCATGGCACTGCAAGAGGAGTGGGTCAGATTGCCCCAAATCATGATTGGACGGTTGATTAGGAGCATGCCACGATGAATCGCTGAATGTCTGAGGATTGGTGGAGGATTAATCATTATTAAGACAAAAACCAAAAACGTCCATTTTCATTTTTGACAGTGTATCTCTTTGTGAGTGAAATAAGCAGCCCATATGAACTGTTTATGTTCATGTGTAGGCAATTGGCCTGTTATTAACATACACCGGTTACCTCTAATAAAAACAGCAGTGCTAATGACACCTGTAAGCTTATATGAGAAAATGAATGAAATAAAAAGACACCAATCTAGAATATTTTTAAAAGTTTTGTCTTACTTCAACATAAGATTTAATTTCTGTTTCTCCATTTCAGGTAAAAATGTGGATTAGTTTTTTAATTCCAAAAATTGAAGACGGAAACAATTTTGGTGTATCTATACAGGTAAATTAAGACTGTTTCATTTCTGTAAATTAGGAACAGTTAAATTTGATAATTCCATAACAAAGCAGATTTGAAGAATTTTGTCCCGCATATTAAAATTACTCTCAGCATTTTATCACATCAAATTTACTGACATAGGAGTTAGTTGACAGATGGACATTACTCTTGGCCATTACTGGGGAAAACAGTAAAAAATCAACATAACATTTAAAAATTCTACCTTGACTTGTTGATTTATTTTTGGGTCAAATAACATCCCTGGTGATTGCATGCAAACTTCAAATTATTGTACCTTATGTTTCAGGAAGATACAATGGCAGAAGCTAGACAAGTCGAAAGTGATGCTGCTACATATTTAGATCAAATATCACGCTATTATCTTACAAGAGCTAAAATTGTTTCAAAAGTTGCTAAATATCCACATGTAGTAAGTTCATTTGATCTTTATATCCTGCACAAAAACTGAGAAAACAATTTGGTTTATTTAAATATGATGATTGAAATTCTTGACGTTTGATAAGCAAAACATCTAGTTAGTATCATGCGCTGAGGTGGCTAGTTGAGTAAGACATAGGCTAGCTTACTAGAAGACCTCGGGTTCGCTCCTGGTGTTGGCCGAGATATTTTCTCGGGATTTTTTGGCATGGTCCCTCCTCGTCGGTTATACAGGACAGAGGGCCTGGCAAGACAACGTATAGTCATTCAAATGGGACAAAAAATCCAGGTCTCATGTACAAATTGGTGTGCACGTAAAAGAACCCTTGGCAGTTGAACTTCAACATAAGAGTATGTTGTAGCGCCGCTGTCCCAGCAACATTAACCATCATAAGTATAACAGTGGTTAATGAGCTAATGGCACTGGTAACTGTTGATTCAGAAATATGATTATCCATTGTAATATTGTTATAATGATTTGTTAACAGGAAGATTATCGACAAGCTGTTACAGAATTAGATGAAAAACAATATATTTGTTTACAATTAACCACATGTGAAATTAGAAATCATTATGTAAGTAGTTTTTATTTTATTTTTTAATTCAAGATGAATTGAAATGGGTTTAACTGGACCTCCAGTTTAGTTTTTATTGTTCCATCTGAAAGAGTAGAACTTCTTCCTTTCCCTGCCCAGTATCTTCCACCACTGACCAAGGGAAACAACACTTGACAATTCCAAAGAAGTTTTCCAGCCAACACTGAAATTGTACTCCAGACTTCCTTACTCACGGAGTCACCGTGCTTATTTTATAATTTGATCTGAAATATCTATAGAATTAAAACATGTAAGCTGTTCATTTTAAAACTTCTCCATGATTTTCATTTCTGCCAATTCATTAAAAAAATATTTTGTTTGTTATTACGCGACAAATTCAGTTTTGTAAGCAAATTATGTTGATTCGATTTTGGTAACAATATTAAATTCTTCAAAGTTAAGAATGCCAAGTCAATCCTTCTAATTTAATTGAAAATTTATATTGAAAATTTATTTATCTATTAACTTATCAATCTTTTTCAGGCTAGTCTTCATGACATCATCTTCAAGAACTTAGACAAGATCAAAAAGCCTAGAAATGCCAATGCTGAATCGTTATATTAAAAACAAAAACTATCTGTGATTGGGGTACAAAAAATTCTCTGGCCAAAACTTGTGAATGGTTCGTGTTGTTTTGTGTCAAATTTAATCTAAGGAAGTTAAAATTTGGTGAATTATGAATTCATTGTGACATTTGTAATGCGTATGTACTTTTAATGTCTTTTAAAGACTTGTTTTATTATCAGCACTTTTCTTCCATAAACCTAAGTGAAATCAACATTCTTATGAACAGTCTTTAGACACTCAATAAAATAACGTTGTTTATCTTTTCGTTGATGCATTTGTGCTAGTTTTGTTTCCATCATATATATTTCTCTTTTCTCAAAGTTAAATACAAAAGCACTGGTTTGCTTGAATGTCATTAGAATCCTTGATGTGATTGGTCAATTTATTAATTGACACACTAAGGGTATAACAAATACTTTACTTCTGATGAGCTCAATAAATGATTTACAATCAAATTTTTATCAGCTCAGTAAACAGAAGTTGTTTATAAATAAGACTACCATATATGCATGTTGTTGCAAGTGATATTATACTTAAAATATAATGTTTTAAATCTGAAACTTTAAACGTTGTATATAATTGGTAGGTGTACATTAAAATACAAGAAAACATCTATTTTATTTCAAACATTTTTTCAAACAAATTTCCACAGAAATTTGTGCCAGATATGTTTTGAGATTTTCTAAATGTGCCCCTGTCGTGCTCTGTCAACATTATTTTGTTGCATGTTATTAGTAAGCTGCTTCAAGTTTTTGTATCTAAAAATTTGGGTGGTCAACCCCATACAAATTTGGGTGCAAAGACATGGCCATTTGTTTCACTGTCTGTAGTGAAAAGCATTCAGTCCAACGAGAACTTAGGGAAATGTTGGAGCAAGGCAGAGACTGAATTAACATTGTCATCAATGGGGAAAATAAAGGTCTTTTGCCTCCAGATGAAAAACAGGTGTTGTCTCTCTTATACCGCCAAGTATTCTGCATATCAAAGGCACCCATGATTCGGAAATGTGACAGTGGCACTGACAAGTTAAAAATTAATTTTAATCTCTGGGGTGTTGTGCACATCCCTAGCCCAAAGAAAACGGGATTTGTGAAAGATTATGAAAAAAAATGAATTTCTGAGAATCCGCCATTTTCTGTGTCTGTGCACATCTTTAGGACAACATGTGGAACATTGAAAAAAAGTGTTGTTTCTGAGAACCAGCTTGAGTTGGTGTCCCAAACAAAATGGGAACATGCAGTGCTTGATTTAGAGTGGCCCTAGGCTATTCCACTTAAGACCCGCTGCCACTCACGACTAGGGGCAGATGTACAATGTAAGTGTGTTTTTAAACACAATTAAGCAGAGTTGAGGATAATGTCAAATTAAGGCCACAGTGCGTGCAAGGAAAGCTTATGACAGTGTCCCAAATAATGTATACCTTGGCCCGGAGGCCCCCTAGGTATTGGGCCCAGTGCGTCAGCCTGCAAAGTCTTAAGTAAATCTGAGAAGCAGCTAGAGTTGGGGTATCAAAATGGGCATGCATGGAATATTACACAAGAATTGAATTTCTAGATGTGTGTGGTTAATTTTGTCTTTCTTCAACGGATATGCATGGAATATTATGTAAGATTTGAATTTCTGGAAGTGTGTGATTAATTTTATCTTTCTTCAACGGCGCCAATGAACTGTTGGACCTAATAATACCACCAGACAGGCTGCACAAACATGGCCGCTATGAGTTCCTGGTACATTGTTTATAATTGTTCTACATAGAAATGTTTCTTCAAACGGCACATGTAATATCTTTGACTCTAGAATATAATTTACAGATCTTAACAGTTGCAGGGGCGTGTCTACGGTATGGTAGGTAGGGCACGTGCCATGTGCACCACTGAGAGGTACGGGCAGTATGACCATTCTCCCGCGTAAACTAAGGAAGTAGTCTAGAATTCCGTGCAAAATCTGTGAAACTGAAAAAAAATCCTGACTCGGACTGACACATCATGGACTAATATTTGTATCAGTGAAAGTAAAAAATGTGCTCTTTTTATTTTCATGTAGTGCCATAATTTGTAATTATCCACACCAAAAAAATGGTGTCAGATGTTTTGACAGTGGCGCAATTCGCTTGCCATGGGCGCTATTTTCCGCAGATGCGCCACTGTGTTAACCCACTCCCCCCCACCATGTCACTGGAATTTGTGACCAGACAAGGTGTCTAATTTTTCGGAATGTACAAAGAAAAATCAGACGGAAATTTACGTCGATGTCGCGGGTCCATTTAAAGAGGCGGCTGAAACACACACACACACACACCCACCCATACAAGCAAGCTCCCAAAGTCAATGATAAAACAATAGTTATCACATTATTAGTTGTTTGGGGGGGGGGGGGGTTTAATGTGGAATAATTATATATCCCAACGGGGGTTGGTTGGCACGTGCGCGCTGTATCATAAAGTCTGTCATTGAGTCAACTGGCGTGGTTTCGATTCCCCGGTTGTAAATGACAAGGAGTAGGGTCGCCTGTCGAACTTCTCCGGTTTCCCCCCACTGCTAAAGACCCCTACGCGCAAGCGAATTATGGAAACAAAATTGAACCATGTTAGTCCCGAAATGACCTAGTTTGTGTCGAGTGGACGTTAAACCCTATTTCTCTCTCTCTCTCTCAACAGGATATACCTACTCGAAAAGCCCCCGCATAGGCCTTTCAGGTGACAATAACCGATGCTCTTATACCGTTTGTCTTCACTCCCCCGTAAATATTAAGTAGAAGTAAAATACACCAAAACATAGAACAAATTATTTGTGCCCTTAAAAAATGAATATAAATGAGTAATGTGTTCGATCTTTTCACGGAGTAATTGCACAATATTAATTATAACTGCCATGATCGAAATGTCACCAAAGGTATTGGAATGCAATTCATTATACGTGTGTCTACCTGCGCCCGGTGATCTAAAAATAGTATTGGCTCAGCTCCGATCAGTGTAGTACGACAGTGAATTCGCGTGTTGAGCTTGAGTTGACAGGCGATATTATTGTAACTCTTTCCAAACTAGATATGGATTTTATTTAATTCTGTGATTTGGATTTTAGCGGTTTGGGTGAGTAGGTTGTCATTTTTGGTTAAATTGAGTAATTTGCACCTTTTGGTCGTTGCATGGGGTATGTTTTTGTGACACGTTTTGTAATTAAGACTGAACATCGTTTGTTTTCACTGAACTTCATTGAGGCTCGTTACAGGGCGGTTACCGTTACTTGACATGTATTTAAAATTATAGGTTGACAATGTTTATCATTCTTGCATATTATGTACCATAACTCTGTTGCTAGCTTAATTATTCTGTTCTTAATTAGACGATGGATTAATCAATGTCTTAATCTTCACATTTTCACAAAAATCAATTATTTTCCTTTGGCTTAAGTAACTTTTTATTCAATAACTTTCTCATTAATCTCAACCATTACGAAGGTTATTGAAGTTATAACAGTTAATATGGTCAAATGGATATAACCTACACATTTGATATTTTATAATTGAGTATCTCAAAGATTTCTATGATATGGGTTGTACTAAGTATTCAGATATATTCTGTGTGGATAAAGGTGGTTATCTTTTATAATGTACAGGTAAAATGTGTATTACTCTGCCATAATGCACATGATATACAGTACAGTTTGTCTATATAGTTAAAATGTGTATCACACAGACATAATTCACATTTTGAATATACAACTGCCAAAAGCACTTGATTTGCATTAAAATGATTTACCATACTCATTATTGAAGTTAATTTTTAATAATTTTTTAGCTTTGATACATGTTATATTTTTTCCTGTTAATGTTGTATATCTTGGAATTATTCTTTATATCCCAAATTTCTCTAGAATGTTAAACCTTGATATTTGTTTATACCCTAAATTTCTCTAGAGTGTTAAACCTTGATATTCTTTATACCCAAAATTCCTCTAGAATGTTAAACCTTGATATTCTTTATACCCTAAATTCCTCTAGAATGTTAAACCTTGATATTCTTTATACCCTAAATTCCTCTAGAATGTTAAACCTTGATATTTGTTTATACCCTACATTTCTCTAGAATGATAAACCTTGATATTCTTTATACCCTAAATTCTCTAGAATTTTACACCTTGATATTCATTATACAACTTACTATAGACCCCTTCTTACATCATGTCTAGAAGTTGTGATTCACTGATTATGGTAGGTGTCATACATGAGGCATGGTGAACTACTCTCTTTGGAACACTTGATATTACTTCAGCTGTCATGGAAATGCTCTCTTTTGATAAGTTCATAGACCTGTACTCCTGTAGCCACTGAGGTCATGTTTCTAATTAGTTGCCTTCCCCCGGATCTAGCCGAAACATCGACTTGCAGGTAGATTAAACATGAAAACAAACTTTATCTCGGTACTTGGCCTAGTGCTGGGTATTGCCACTGCAGTCACGATACAATATGTATTCATAACCAGGTCCATATTTGCCAAGAAAACAACAGGATAAATGAATAATTCATATTTTCAGTCCTGCCGATGTCAACAAAATAAAAGTGTTTTATATCACAATATTGATGTGGATCCAAACAAGGGCTAAAATGATTTAAGAGTGTGTACCCATGGATAATGTGTGACATGGATAATTAAGAGTCACCATCAGATATCCACTTACACCAGAGGATGTATTGACTATTTGGATTAGTTGTTAAGTGACTAATGGCACTGAATTTGAATTGTATCGGGTGTATATTCATTACAATAATATGTGAAATGTGAAATATCTCAAATGTTAAACATACATGATGCATGAGCTAAATCTGCCCATTGCAGGTCTTTCTTTAGGCCTGAAATTTTAATGTTATCTAAATTATTAATTAGACATTAATTAACTTATCCAGACCATAATCAATTCTCGATATCATCTCTAGCCTGCGATATTTACTGGATTAGGATCTGAAATGCTGCTCAACTTTCATTCATGATTAAATCATAAAATGGATAATCGAGACTTATGCTTTTTATCGTACCAACTTTAGTAATGATGATAGAGGCTAGGCCGAAAATTCAATGGCTAAATTCTCGGTTAAAGGTAGATCAATTTGACTGAAATTTTCAGCAAATTACCTTTACATTATCTAGTTTTTAACTATTATAGTGAGAACTGCCAGCTCTTTATCTAATCTTCCATAATGTAGCCTATTTTTAAATATCTCAAATTTTTTAACATATTTAGAAAATTTCAGATCACCTGCTGTTTAGACAAACTTTGGAAACTATATTAACCTTACCAGTGGATAAAAATCATAATTATACATGTACCAGTTATTCACTTCGAGTACACAACAGACATTTAATACTTGCTTCAGGCAATATGACTTTTTCAAATTCCTATATATGGAGTATAGTTTGCATGGTTTTCAGAAACAATACACATTCATTAATGAATATTTCATGTAAATGTATACGCCTACATCAGCTTATTATACATATGAGTAAATCCAAAGCTATTAATCTAGATTTTGTTGACATACAGAAGTGTAACTTGAGTATAAATATTATTGTTTGTTTATTATCTATATAGATAGATATAACACTCTTAATTTACAGGTACATGTCAACCTGAAATAAGTAGGATCATTATTATCATCTATAATACACATTTATCTCTTTCATTTAAAATCCCCATTGTAAAAATATAATCATTGAAAATGACAAAAAAAAAACAAAAACGGAAATCGTATATACAAATATGGATATTCATTTGGAGCAATTTTACTCTAACTTGGGAGAATTCTGCTTATTGAGGGATTGGATTGGTAAAGTGGTCTTAAAGAATGCTATTGTATATCACAAGGTCCATAATTAATGAAGGTGTCTGAAGTTCGATACCATGCTGGTGTGTGAAAGGCATATGATCAACTACCTAACATTGAGGGTTTTCTCTGGAAGCTCCATTTTCTCCCTAACTGTCAAAAGTTACCCAGTTTGTGTTGAGTATGATGGATATTAAAGCCCATTTCTGTCTTTATTATTAATTATTTATCTGTACCCGTGATCTGGTAGTAAATATATATACGTAATATTGAACGGTTCAATGGGTGCAACAAGCCAGATATTTCAGAAATATCTTAAAGATATACATGTCTTAAAGATACAGACTGTAAATAAAATCATTATAGTCTTATAAAATTATATGGGCACAGACAATTACAATTGCTTTTTTTTAGTTTTTTATATTAGATGATGGATTAAATGAGTGTTTTAGACTTCACATTAGAATTGATCAATTTGAATAAATATGGTTTTGGTACAGATACTTTTAAAGCCCCAACACATGAACACATGGTAATAAGTTAAGGTCATATTAAAGTATTTGAATAGTGTATGGCTTTTGGTATGGTTTCACGGTATTCAACTCTATTTGACTCTTAAAACTGATGGTCATTATTTGCATTTTTTGGAGAATATCTAATTTTTCACGGCTTAATCGACACTAAAATGTCTCACATTAATTAACATTTAATGAGGAAATGAAAAACCAAAACAGTAGTTTACTTTCCTGCTTGGATGCAGTCGAATTGAAAAGAGGATAGCCTTAAATATATTGTTTGCAGAGGATGATGAATGCTGATAATATTCAATACCTCATATCTTTGTAAATATTGAACAGAATTAAAGTATCTTTGGAGTAATATTCGTTTTAGAGATTCAACTTTCACAATATTGTACTTGGTAAGCGATTAAACATCTCTCTAATGATGATCAGCTTTAAAAAAGATATATTCTCACTTCACATTTTTATTTATCTATATTAAATGAATTTTTAATAACCTATTTTTGGCTTAAATTGTTTAGATCATGGAATATAAGTACTCGATGAGTGATATATTCGTCATAATTTATCATAATATTTAGACATAAAATAACTCAGACTGACATTACATAGAGAATTGTTATTCCACTTGAGTGAACAAATACTAAATGTGCATTCAGATTAACATTCTTCCCCCACATATATTGTACATTATATGACTCTCATACTATTTAGCTAAAGAATTCCTCCTTCAAACAATCATTTTTGAGATTTATAACACCATTCATCACAGTTTATTTATTATGATATGTACCTGTTTACTTTAGTAGGCGTTTCATTTTAGGCTAGTACATGGCTAGTACATGCAAAGGACAGAACGATCTAGCTAGACATTCCCAGATACGAACAATCAGACAGCACCCCACATATTTACATCTCTGATACACAAATATTTTTGAATGTGAAAATTATGAAACAAACCTTCTCAATCAATATGAAACGGTGTGCCATTATAATAATGTAAATATATGACCATTTTAAGGACGCTACATTAAATGCAAGAAAACAGAAAATATTTTACACTATTTGAATTTTTCGAGATCAGCAGTACACTTCCTCTTGATTGGTTTATAAATCTAAAACAGGAAGAGAACGCATTATTTTACAAAGTTCTCATAATGTATATGGGTGTTTGTATCGTTTGCAACTTTCTCGAATTAGTATTGTATATTTGAATTTATGGCGCTGGCTTGCTAACTTGGAGATCCCAGGTTTGGTCCCAGTGTTTTGCAGTGTGGTTTCCCCATGTCAGTTGGGGGGCCTGGCAAGGAACAGCATCTATGGGACAAAAAGCGTGAGTTCCCATGTAATAATTGGCATATACAAAATAAGAGTAGGGTGTACATGTAGGTGTGACACACTGCAAGACTTATCCCTGCCTTTATTAGGCTTGACCCAGACTGACTGACTGTTGGTGTTTAATGTATGCTTCCATCGGTAAATCTTCCCCATAAATACACCTCTGACTGGACGTTAATGTTGTGAAAAAATATTTGAGATGTACAGTAGTCAAACATTTACTTTTACATGTAGTAAAAAAAGGACAGCAGTCTGAATGTCTTGGGGTCAAGAAAGCTATTTGTCACCTCTACAGTAAGTGAAGAGTCTAGATGATTAACTATGGCTTATGGTTGAACAGTTAAATTCTTTTGAATAGTAAGTGGAAGGAAATAGGGTCAGTCTATAGTACTACTGTATAATTCAATGTCCT